AACCACAGGATAAGTTAAGGACAAAGGAAGTAGGAACAAGGCAAGGAAAATTAAAACGCGAAAACGGCACGGTGCGACTGCGAAAAAAAACAAAGAAAACGTTTTGCCATCGTTTTGCCAACAATGAACAAGTATGCTAAGCTTTTATAAATACTTATTCTACTTCTTTGATTTTTTGGTAAGATGACGTCATTGATAATCGTGAAGTATGGTAGATTATCATAAAATAAATCGGTTGTACACCAATTTCGTTTTAATTATGATTTCATTTGAAATAAAACCACTTTATAATATTCAGTAAAATATTTTAAGGAAAATGAAATATATTAAATATGTTATGCTTAGGCTCTCAGGAGAAAAGGATCAACAAACGTTCTGCTGCAAATTTAACAATGCAGCAAATTTAGCGAGACGAAAACGGCGCTTTTGTTTCAGTTATTTTTGTAGAGGTTTCAGATATTTATAGAGTTCAGTGGGTTGTTTCTGAGGAGATGTGGATATGTGAATTATTAATTAATCACACTTTATTAGTATATAGGGCCTTGCACTTTATCATCTGGATTAAAAAAAAAACGTTTCCTGCTGAGTGCAGAAAGGTAGGTAGGTGCATCGCCAGGTTCCATAGATATATGCCAGGTTCTATCACCAGGATTGGAGCAGTTATTGCAGTTGAAAGTCAAAGTTGGCTGTTCATGGTTAGGCCCTGTTCTTTATTTGGCCATCTACCCCATAATGCAGTTGTGATGACAAACAGTTTTCAGTGTAGTTTTGTGATCTTTGATGTCATCAATTGGTGTCATTATTTTTCGTCAACTAAAACTTATTTGAACTTTCCATTCAATCGACTCAATCATACGAGTCACTCTAATTTTCGGGAATCAAATCAGTCAACCAGTCGCTAAAGTCAAACGAGTCAGTCAACCAGTCATCTCGAAAAGTCAATCGACTCAATCCAATCAACTCAAAATACGCGTTGAATCAAATCAATCAATTCAATCGACTTGATTGGTATACAACCCTGCTCTGATTACTCATCTTTCGTTCCATATAGGTGCTTTGCTGCTTTTCCCTGCTACTTTTCGAGATATGCGCCAGTAAACCATATGATGTAGGGGCAATTGTCACCTCGCCGCTCTACTGACGGCCCGGCGCTCTTTAAAGCGCCGAAATTTATGAAAAACGAATGCTTATGATCTGAATAAAATATATGTCCCTGAGCTCAGAATTGATCAACGCACACAATGCTGTCAAAATTTTTGGGCTAAATTCAATAATTAAGTCATTATGAACCCCCAAACACAAGTCAGTGATAATCAACAACAACTTGCTCTTTAGTTAGACTTTTTGAGAAATGTTATTTCGAGCCGCTACAGATGAGCATGTCATGAAAACAACTAGTCAATTGTCTTCCATGCCCTATTGACGATTATTGCCTATTACTGCTACTTTTCGAGATATCGTCTGCTAAGTTACCTGATATAGCTGCTATGCCACATTACCGCGGTAGGGTGGCATAGCAGCTATTTCAGGTGACTAAGCAGACGATATCTCGAAAAGTAGCAGTAATAGGCAATAATCGTCAAAAGGGCATGGCAGACAATTGACTAGTTATTTGCATGACATGCTCATCTTTAGCGGCTCGAAATAACATTTCTCAAAAAGTCTAACTAAAGAGCAAGTTGTTGTTGATTATCACTGACTTGTGTTTGGGGGTTCATAATGACTTAATTATTGACTTTGGCCCAAAAATTTTGACAGCATTGTGTGCGTTGATCAATTATGAGCTCAGGGACATATATTTTATTCAGATTATAAGCATTCGTTTTTCATAACTTTCAGCGCTTTAAAGAGCGCCGGGCCGTCAGTAGAGCGGCGAGGTGACAATTGCCCCTACATCATATGGTTTACTGGCGCATATCTCGAAAAGTAGCAGGGAAAAGCGGCAAAGCACCTATATGGAACGAAAGATGAGTATTCAGAGGCTAGTATAAGATGTTCATTTTTAGCCGCTCGAAATAACGTTTTTATAAAAGTCTATTTAAAAATTTAGATATGATTTTTATTATGGTCTTGCAGCTGCTTGCAAAAAGCTAGCTTATCTTGCAAAAAAGCGATGCAATATGTAAGAATGTTGTTGGTACAGTGAACAACAGTGCCCTGAACTAGTCTGACAGAAAATTGCGTTCAAAACGACAACTGGTCAACTAATAAATGTCAACTAAAGATTAGCATTAAAATCGGCAAATGTGGTGGCCACTAGCGGGTCTAAATAGTCTTGTGTTTGGTGACAACTGACCACCTCAATTTCGACCTTAGGGCAAAAATGGCATCAGAATCGTATGCTTTGATCAATTTGGGATCGAATGATACGTATTTTCTTCATATTGTGGAAAGTCACTCTTGGGGGTATTTCTAGCGCTTTTCCGGTCCGCCGGCCCAGCGTGCGGCGCGGCGGGCCGAGGGGAGTGGTTGCGGACTGCGGAGGGATAGGGGGAGGTGGCAGATGCCATCTGGTAACTTGTGATGGCAGCAGGCATGTGGTCAACGGAACCCAACCTACTCGCAGAGGATTTGTAGAGATCTGTTTCATTGCAAATTTAATAATTTCAGCCGTCATTGGCACGACTGTCACATATTTCTTTCTGTAAGATCCGGAAACCCGTGCCCGAATACGAAAAAACATCGGTTGCACCCGCTAACAGAATGCATCCGTAGTTGCAGACGCACCGGCGAACGGATTAAAAAACAAACAAAAGTTCTCTCTCTAGCCATTAGCCAATTCACTAATTCGCTCTCTAGCAAATTAGTCCTATATTTGGAGTTCTCTCTTTTTAATGGGCCGGTTAGTGAGCGGCGACAAAAAAATGTTTTCTGTTCAGTCGTATTATTTTTAAAAGCCTTATTTGATGCCAAGCTGCCCCCCCCCCTCATGACCTGTTGACGTCGTTCAGCAGGCCTCTTCACAGTAGGATTATGGCGAAGCTTTGCTTCGATGTGATTTTCCCGTCACGCACACTGAGTGATTGGCGCCCACTACTGTGGACGTCAAACCGCGTGGGACGCGACTTTTTCGCAATAACTTTTGAATACGTTGCCTCTCAAGAGCGAAACTTCGGCAATGGACGTTTCAGACCCCGGCCTAATTTTTATTACTAAGGTTTTTCAATGTCCGATCAATATTTAGGGCACTTCCCGTTCACTCGTAATGCTAAGTGAAATATCAGCCCGGATGGCGGCTATCGTCAGGCTGCTCGCGAAGCCCCGCCTACTAACTACGAATTCCCTGCCATCTACCGTTCAGACACGACTGCCATCTGTCGGTCGATCCTCACTCAGAACCGGTTCTGCATGCTGTGTGCGTCGGGTCTCAGATGGGCGGACATCTCGAAACCGAGATTGTTCAGTATGGCCTTTTACCAAATTAACTATACGAATTATTGACTTAGCAGCAGGGATGCAGAGCCTTGGACATTTGAGTCAGCTCCAGCTCCGGCTCCGGCTCCGAGTAAAATGGCAATACGGCTCCGGCTCCGGCTCCCACTCAGGGCAAAATATGACGGCTCCGGCGGATCCGGCTCCCCTCCGGCTATGCGTACCGGTGCATTACGGAAACATTTAAGTTGGGGCATATTGGGGCTTGGCAGGATAACACGAAGTGTACTAACGTTCCTGGCGGTTTGATATCTACAAGAACCTAAAATTAAAATTTTAATTGAAAATTAACTTGACTGTGTAAATATATTATATTATTATGTATCTCATTTACGTAATTACGTTGACAAACTTATTAAATAATCATTTAATTATTTTCTGTTATTCTTAAATCATCGTAATATTTGGCGTACGCGTATAGTCTTCCTATCTGGGTGACATTCTTAGCGAGTCGAAGAAAATATTTCATTGATAGAAGTGCGAACAGTCAACACTCGGCTGATGAGCAGTTTATCGCGGCTTCCTTCACGGTTAAATACCGACAAGAGGCGCATTGCAAATACATTCTTGCAGCCCTTAGGGCAAGCATGAATAACGTACGCCATGCGGCTGGATGTGTTGGCAGGAAGCACCGCGTACCAACCCCTACGGCCCGCGACTGACCGGTCTCGGGTCAGGTAGCGCCTCAGGCAACGGCCAGCCGAGGCGGAGCTTAGCTCCAACGTCACACTATGGCTCCGCCCCTTGTGGAGTAGCCTCTGCTCACCGAGAGAGTTTCAGGAGCAAAATTTAACATTACGAGTGAACGGGAAGTGCCCTAAATATTGATCGGACATTGAAAACCCTTAGTAATAAAAATTAGGCCGGGGTCTGAAACGTCCATTGCCGAAGTTTCGTTCTTGAGAGGCAGCGCATTCAAAAGTTATTGCGAAAAAGTCGCGTCCCACGCGGTTTGACGTCCACAGTAAGGCAGACCAACGAGCGCCCGGCTCGTGAGCCCAAGCGGCGCCGGTATCCGCCTGGGGCGGGGGACGGGGTCAAGGAAGAGCGATACGAGCATGACCTCTGGCCGGCCTCTGCCTGTTTTGACCCAGTTGTCAGCCGCTGGTGCCTGCGTCATATAGCAGTTTTCCTCCTACTGCTGGCGTAGAATCGTGTTACAACGTACTTTTTATGATACAGGCCATGACTTCACTGCTGGGGTCCTCAAACTGAATGGAATAGTTCGCCGAGCCGCCGCAACCCCTGACGCGATACTTTCAAGAGAGACTATACCTCCGCGAAGATCCCGTCGCGAAAACGGCCATTATGAGTTATGAGCTATAGGTACGGCTATCGTTATGCGAACTTTACCAGAGATGCCCGTAGCCGGGGTTTGAGTGGGTCTGGATTCGGAGTTGGAATTACCAGCTGATGGCGGTCGACTCTGCACTCGACAGTCCGGGCTGCGCTCAGTCCTCAGTCCCGCTGTCAGCAGACGCCCACCCAGTCACCTCTCTTCTACGGAAGAGGTTCGTAAGATCGTAATGCATGCTGTTGGATAAAGCGAAGCCGGATAAATTAAAAAGCGTATGCTCTAGTTGACATTTTCGCTCTTTCTTTATTCCAAGGTCGTATATTCATGCCTAATCAGCCGCTGCTAGTAACACTTGTCATCTAATGAAAATTTGGTCAAGCGTTTTGTTTTAATCGGGGACAATGGAAACTCGGATGGTTAATTCTATTTTACTATTTTGGTTAGCTAAATTAATAATCGGTATACATTCACACCTGGATATTGACTCTTCCAAGAAGCTAAAAGAGAACTGGACGAAGTTCGCGCAGTCAATCCTCACACCAAACATAAGCTGCTATAAAACGATCGACGACTATGGAACCATGAAAGTTACTAAAATGGAGGACTCATTGTGCGATATGAACATTGAAAGAGAGGACATGAGTGTTTGCGTTAAGGTTGAGGAAGGTAGACCTAGTTGCAGTGTGACAGTGTTGACGGGGCAGGAGACAATGATAACCATTCAACTTACGGTACGAACCTGCTCGATTTCTAATATCGCTTTGAATGACACAAAATTTCAGTCGATAGCTCATTCTAACAGAATATGAGGAGACATGTTTTGTGCACATATGCTTTTCAGAAGTCTCGTCTAGTGATTGAGCGACACCTTTGCTCGACAGGACGCGGAGACCTTCTGTCCGGACCCGGTCTCCTCGCTGCACATGCTCCTGCACAGCACTGGCATCACGCTGGGGCACAGCGTCTCCCTGACTACGCACCCGGCCGTGCCCAGACACACATTCGTCGACCCGCTCATACGTATGAGCGCCCCGTTAAAAGAAGCGGACTACCGGCTGATGTCTGCGGCCGCCGAGCCGGCCAACTCGCGCGACTGGCCGTTCCGCGCGGCCGGCGGGATGGCGCTGGTGGACCGCTACTGGTCGCCGCACCGGTTCGGCCACCGGCTTCTGGTGACCGCCGCCGACCCGCGCTACCAGGCTGAGATGATGCTGCAGTGGATGGGGACCACGCAGCCAGACGACATGGACCTGGCACCGGGCGACGCCGTTCTACTTGGGCAAACCACGTGTCTGGACTCGAAGGCGTGTCCAGCGCACGGCCAGTCGGCGCCGTGCAGGGGCTACAGGAGTGCCGAGTGTCGCTGTCAGGAGAGTGTCCAGCCAACCATCGCCTGCCAGCTGCCCTCCCCAGTGGCCACCGGCTGTGAGCCGGCCTCGGGCGCGCGGCGCAGCTGCCCGTACAGAGCCGTGGTGGGCGCCGACCTGCAGCGACGCGCCCACCCGGGCTGCAGCCGGCTCACAGCCGTCGCCAACGGGCTGGCCGCAGTGCACGCGGACGTACGCCGCTTCCTGGAGGCGCCGCAGTACCCGTGGCGACACTTTGTGGTCACCATACTGGCGTGCACGGGCTGGTGGCGGCTCAGCGATGTGACGGTGGGGTTCCCGGCGGCCTATGGGAGCCAGCTGCGCGGCGCTGGCCTGCCCGCTGACCGGGACCAGCTGTGCGCCGCCCTGCGCGTCTACATCACCAACGCAGAGGCGCAGTCGCTCGGCGGCGACAGCCGGCTCACCCACGAGACATTTTGCCTGGACGACGTGGTGCTGGGTGCGGCGGCGCACCTGGGCCGGCCGCGCCGACCGCCGCCGCAGCCCGCCATCGTCACCAGGGACGCCGTCCATCTGTGGCTCGGCCCGCAGCCAGAAGGCCTGGACATCGACCTCAGTCAGCTGGTGGTGAAGTTGTTCGCGGTGCCGGCCGGACCGACGGCGGTGCCGGCCTACTCTGTGCTGCACGAGCTAGACGGCGAGCAGCTGCCTGCCGACCAGTGTGTGATCGAGATCAGCGATCAGAACGACACGCGCACCACACCAGCCGCCACCACGACTGTGTCGCCGAATGCCACATTCAGACCGATGAACCTTTCGGCGGCCACCGGCGCCATGACAGATGACCTGACCACCAGCACTGGCTCCATTTTCGGCATGGCCGTGCTGCTGCTGCTGCTGGCCTACTGCATGTGCCAGCGGACGGCGGGCGGGGGCGACTGGGAGTCGGACAGCAGCTGGTCCGAGTCGCCGGCCAGCTGGACCACCAGCAGCACCAGCAGCTGGACCACCACGCCGTCCAGCAGCGCCGACCACTACTCCACCGAGAGCTTCGACTTCGAGCGGGACGCCCAGCTGGTGGGCGGGCGCGCCACACTCCAGTACATGCGGCGCGTGCAGGAGGAGGCGCTGCGGCGCCGCCGGCTGGAGCTGAGTCACCCGTGCACCGTCCAGTCGGACTGAGTCGGCCCTCCGCCGACAGCTCAGCGGCTCAGCCGAGACACACTCGTCCTGTCGGCGACCGGTCAGCTGAGGCGAACCTTTGGGCGGGCACCGCTCGCCGGAGGCACTCGTCCTGACGTAGGCAAGGAGGAACTTCCCAAACGTGTGTAATGCTCATTGTTGATGACGCTGGATGTTCACTAATAAATGTGACCATCACCTCAGAATGAAAGTATATGTACGGCTCCCAGGGGAAACACGCGTTGGTTTTGCTTTTTGTGGTTATATTTAGTCCTATACCTATCCCTCGCCGGCCGAGGGAGTGGGGGGGGGGGGGGCGGTTGTATCAGGGCATGTATCATGTATTACAACAATCACGAATGCCGGTTGGCCCTGGTGATGTTAAATCTGGTTCACACATCATGCACACATCAGTATCGCACATACACACAAGTACATACACACAAGTACATACCTACTCACATTACTACTGATTTTAGATTGATTCATTCTGCATTACTCATGAGCAATTTCAATTACAATCAATTACGGTTTCCGCCCCCATAGGTTTTTTTCGCGATAGCTCCGAACAGCCAGTGATAGAGAGTGTCTATCTGATGTAGTTTTTCACGGTGAATCGAATGGTGCTATTTTTGTTTCCGTACGATGTCTAGAACTTCCAAAAAATTCATTTTCAAAAAATTTGTGTGTCGTGACGTCAAAAAAAAAATTGAATACCTCCCACATTTTTAAACCCATTTTTATGAAAATTGGTAAGTAGGTGCACATAGACCACTTCTCTGACATATTTTCCGTTTTTTATCGATACACTCAAAATTTTGGATTTTATAATTATTTTCCCGAAAAAATCAGTTTTTTTAGAAAAAAAATTGGGCCAAAATCTAAAATTTTCAAAAAAAACGAGATAGCCATATGATAGACAAGGTAGAATCACGGATAAGCCTTTTGTTACGTCTTGATTACTTTTAAAACGAAGATGTTAGCGGCGTTTGAAATTTTGCCGTTTTTAAGGCGAAAATGGCGAACATGACGTCACTAAAACGTCATTTTCTCAAAAACATTCTGACGGATTTCGCTCAAATTTTCAGGGAACATGTGAAATTGATGTATTATAAGGTACTGAAAGGTTGACGTCGCTGGCCTAACGCGTTTAGAAGTTATTGGCGAAAATTAACGGGAGGGGGGGGGGGCGGCAGATTCTGCCCCCAATGGGGCGCGGGTTAACTTAATGAATCTACGAAAAGTTAGATAACTTTAACACGCGCACCGACGGGGGGGGCCCCCTGATGTTTTTCGCGAATAGCGGGAAAACCGCGAAGCGTAGCGCCGCGAAATTTCGTACGACTATTCTCTCATAAATTTTACACACCAGTATAACGCCTTTTGGGGCGACTAACGGAGCGAGCGAGAGGGTGAGCCTTGCACGTGCGAAATTTCGAGGGGGTACCTCCAGCTGACTTGTGCACGGCACCCTACTAACCGGTCTCTAGCAATGTACCAAATTTGAGCACAATCGGCCCAGCCGTTCTCGAGATCTGGAAGCGGCACCCTGCACGTGCGCACGTGCAAAATGGGTCCCAACTGACTTTTGCACGGCACCCTACTAACCGGTCCCTAGCCATGTACCAAATTTGAGCGCCATCGGTCCAGCCGTTCTCGAGATCTGGAATCGACCCCTGCACGTGCGCACGTGCAGCAGCACCCCAACTCCGGCACATGGATATGCATTGCCTAGTGGGTGCCTACTGCCTACCTGCATGCCAACTTTCAGCGCAATCGGCCAAGTAGTTACCGAGATATTGCAACAATTACAAAAGTGACACCTCTTCGTTTTGCACGTGGCACGTGCATAAGGGGTCACCCACATGCATCGGGAATAGTCCAATACTTGGTAGAAGGAATGAAGCTACCCTACAAAAATAACCGCATGTAAATCTTCTCACAAAATTTCAAGTCACAGGTCACCTCAGGTCAGGAGTTATTAAGGTCAAACTGAGGTCATGTTCGAGTAAAAATGAGCAAAATCACAATATCTTGAAACGCTCACCAATTCTACAGTTAACAAGCAATTTTAAAGTTCTTTATGTGGTTGTGTAGAGAAAAGACGGCGCTATAAAACTGCTATCTCAGATTTTCAAAATTTTGGGATTTTGACCCCTAAAAATAAAAAAGTTAATTTTTTTAGAAAAACTCAAAAAATTTCCAAAAATTTTTCGAATTTCGAAAAAACCAGAATATATATGATAGTCCCTGCGCTCTTCGATATACATACCAAATTTTAGATCGATACCTTTTTTGGCCAAGTTATAGCGAAAAAACTGTTAAAAATTGATGACGTCAAATTTTTTAACTCAATTTTTAGCAATTCTAGACCTCGTAGCGCAAAACGGAGACCACCATTGAACTCCCCGTGACGAGCTGCATCGAATCCATACCCATTTTATGCAAAAATATCAACTTTGAAATTTGACCTAGTTTGACCTGACCTTGACCTGACCTTGACCTGACCTTGACCAAAACGTGACCTAAGCTGGCCCAAAAGTCTGCCTGACCCACATAATCGCATTTGTCATGTAAAATGGACCATAAAACATGTATCACACGACACTTTCATATTGTGACACCCCAGTGACCTGACCTCTGTGACCTGACCTGGTATCAGTGACCTCAAATAGCAAAATATGTGTTTGAAGAACATTTTCCCATCAATGATTTTCAATGAAATGCATTTTACTCGATTTTACAACGCATTTCTTGAAATGCCTGTAAACGGTAAGAATTCGACCTTTGACCTGACCTGTGACGTCATCGGTTTGACTGAGGTCAATGGAATTGGGTCACAAGGTAGTTCCCCGTTGGGGCTATCCAACGCCGTTTACCGCTTCTCGCTATGTTGCGTGGTTCTCGAGATCTTAGGGGGGGGGGGGCAAAATGGCCCCCCCATCAGACCGCGTTGCTCGGCAGACCCCATCAGGGCGCGGGTTAAGGTCAGGTCACCAGGTCACTTTGAATGACCCATCATCAAGCCACTTTTTTGCAACTTTGTCACCGTGCTAGAGCTACAGTAGATGTCGGAGGCCTTTGAAAGTCGCAGCATGTTATTAGGTCATTAGAAGCTGCAATTTGTAAATCTCGGAATTTTGATATCGGTGACCTAAGGTCAAGTCAATTTCTCGACCTCCCCATTATAAGTCAATGGGGAAAAATCAACTCCCTGTTTTTACCACTAAAACGGGTCGGAATGGCCCCATATACCATACATGACTTCATATACGATCAACCTTCACTACCTTGAGGTCTGTTTTGCTGTTGGGCAGCTGTAAGGTCATGTGACGTCATCAAAGGTCACCAAAGTTTTTTTTTGCCAATAACTCCGTACAGGAACAAGATACAGCCGCGCAGATGGTCTCATTGTGTTCAGCTCGTCAAGACGCATCGAATGATATACATGATGACCTCTAAGTCACGTGACCTAAGGTCAACCTTTGACCTTAACCTTTCGATGTCAACATATATATCATTCGATGCTGATTGACGAGAGGATCACGATGATGCCCTTAGTTTGTTCCTATCTTGACTAATTCGAAAGTTATTCGAGAAAAACTCTCTCCATATCTAGCGCCGCCATTTTGACTTTTTTGACCCCTGTGACATCATCTTTGACCTGACCTGAAAATGACCTTTGTAAAAATTGTAGACCTTGTCCGTGCGTATCCGATGCCGTTTACCGCTTGTCGCTATCTTGCTTGGTTCTCGAGATCTCAGGGGGGGGGGCTGTCATCCGCCCACCCCGTCGGTACTAAGTTGGCGCAGACCGGACCCCCGTCGGTGCGCGTGTTAATAAGAGGGACGGTAAAGTCACAATGTCAACGGTAAATTTTGGGGAAAAGCAATGGGATCGAACACAATTATCTGTGTTCGCCTTTTGGTAAGGATTAAGCCCCCAACGATCAATACCGTTGCGAAACTCACAAGCAAATCACTTTACAGAATTCGCATAAAGCACCCGTTAGCGTTCACACTTCACAGTGCTATCAATAAACGACGCGTCCATTAGACGATAGAATAGGCAGGCCCGCATTAGACGTTTGAAAAGGTAGGTACATTAAGTCTGATATCATCATGAACTTAAAATTCAAAATTTGAACGAATTAATTTCGTAAGAAATAAATTACACAAGGAAACATTGGTGATAAGTATATAAGTTTATAGCAAATTATTCATTTCATTGATTCTCGAGTCGTTATCTGGCAAGTATTTTCGCAAGCTTAACAAGTTTTTTTTTCGCGAATATCTAAGCTTCTAGACGTCCGATTAACACGGGAGAAAACCCGTCGATCCCAAATTTTCCCCCGAATCTTTTTATGGCCAAAGCGACGCGGAGCGAGCGCAAGACATCTGGGGGAAGCGGGGCGGGAGTAGAGTGCCAAGTTTTCCTACCCCGACGAACCCGGAATTATCCCGAGAGGGGGCGGGAGCAGAGTCGGGTGGGGAACTGGGGGGGGGGGGGGAGTAGAGGCCCGACGAACCCGACGACGAACCTACCCGACGAACCCGGAATTATCTCGAAGGGGGAGTAGAGTGGCAAGTTTTCCTACACGACGAACCCGGAATTATCCGGGGGGGGGGGGAGTAGCGTGGGCAAGTTTCCCTACCCGACGAACCCGGAATTATCTCGAAGGGGGTAGAGTGGCAAGTTTTCCTACTGCAATTACCAAGCAAATGCCAAGTACATTGGCAAGTACCGAGTACAGGGTGTTCGCAAAAATATGTCATGATTTCGTTACGCCATTATCGCCAGCTCAAATAAGCAAGGATCAAATGTCTTGCTGAAATGTGTTGCCCGGATCTTCAAGCTTTGTTATACACATGTATCAGTGCCTCATGTCAAACCGGGCGCACCCCACACGCTGTTTTCAATTGAACCCCTTTTCGGCGGATGCACGTGTCACCTAGAGATTACACTTAAAGGGACTATCCCACCTTCTAAAATGTTGTTAAAACCAGTTAAATTGTGCCCGACTTTATAGATTGGATGACCAGGAACACGGTTCTGGCATTTATTTTTCATTAAACATCTTATGCTTCCCATATTCCAAACACAAACTTTCAAATATGTGACGTCACAGCCCAAAATTACCTCCTTCCCCAGGCCACATTATTGTCATAAAGTTGATTCTTTTTACTCTGTAGGCACCACAACAAAGTTCAGACCAAGTTTTAAGCGATTTTTCAACGAACAAACCCATTTAAATCAGAATGACTAAACGAGGTGACATCACTCTAACGGTCGCTCCATGTTGAAGATAGGGCCTTGTACAAGGCCCATTTTCAAATGAAGGGAACGAATTTCTTCAACACCAAGAGGCCGCGGGGGTTGCAACCTAGATAGATAGTGGTTTCTGAACCTCGCCGCAAACTTGGCTATCTCAACTCAAACCCCATGTTAAAGGTGGGATAGTCCCTTTAAGGGTTCATTCGCACGCACGTGTTAGAGGTGATAACACGGACGGCCTTTGCAATCACTATCAACAGCCGAGACAGATTCTTGGCTGTCTTCCTGTAGTCCTTGGACTTCAGATCACTGGCGGATCCAGGGGGGGGGGGGCCACGGGGGCCATGGCCCCCCAAAGGCCTAAAGTGGCCTGTTTGCCCCCCCCCCCCCAAAACGCCAGAAAAATTGCTAAGAAAATATACCTTGATGGAGGTTCTTAGCCACTTGGTGAAGTAAAGCTTTCCACAGCATAATATGGAAGCAATATAGTAGCAGTGAGGGTCAGTCAAAAGTTGCGCGAGCGGAGTCGACCTTAAAAAAAAGACTGTTGTTGGCACGTGTTTATGGCGCGGCAGCTGGTAGTTGGCGGTGTTTCGCGTGGTGTGGCATCACTGGCGGATCTGGGGGGAGGGGGGGGGGGGCACGGGAGCCTGAGGTGCCCCTGACAGGCCCGTGGTGCCCTTGCTAGGCCTGTGGTGCCCCTGGACCCTGGCAGGCCTGTGGTACTGTCCACAGCAGAAGTAATGTGGGGTTTCAGTCATGGGTATGTTCTGCTTCTGAAGCTTAGGAACGATTAGCCAGACTACAATGAAACTTTGAATGTAGCTTATATGTATCGTCACCCTTGCAGCTGCAACTTTAGCTATTGACATCTTCTTTTCAATCACTTCGCATTAAACAATCGCCAGTCAAAGCCAACCGTTGAGTTTGGTAAAACCCTACATTACTTTAGCGGTGGGCTGTACCTCTGGCGGGCCTAGGGTGTCCCTGCTAGGCTGCTGATGCCCCTGGGACCTGACAGGACTGTGGTGCCCCTGACAAGCCTAAAGTGCCCCCAACAGGCCCGTGATGCCCCCGACAGGCCCAAGGTGCCCCTGCGTGATGCCGTGATGCCTGCGAGGCCGGTGGTGCCCCCTGCGAGGCCGGTGGGGCCCTGACAGGCCCATGGTGCCCCTGCTAGACCGGTGGTGCCCCTGGCAGGCCTGTGGTGCCCCTGCTAGGCCGCTGGTGCCCCTGGGCCCTGACAGGACTGTGGTGCCCCTGACAGGCCCAAGGTGCCCCTGCAAGGCCGGTGGTGCCCCTGTAAGGCCTGTGGTACCCCTGCTAGGCCTCTGGTGTCCCTGACAGGCCCATGGTGCCCCTGCGAGGCCGGCGGCGCCCCTGGCAGGTCTCTGGTGTCCCTGACAGACCTGGGGTGCCCCTGACAAGCCTGTGGGGCCCCTCACAGGCCCGTGGTGCCCTTGCTAGGCCTGTGGTGCCCCTGGCGGGCTGGTGGTGCCCCTACTAGGCCGGTGGTGCCCCTGACAGGCCTGTGGTGCCCCCGGGCACCAAGGGGGTCATGACCCATGTGGCCCCCCTTGGATCTGCCACTGATGCATAATATATTGATTTGTAAAGGCGTTATGGCTTATGCAATATGCAATTGCAGGCACTTGGTATCCCTCACTTATCCCTCATTGGGGCTCTGGCGGGCTCCTGAGGGCCCACGTCTATCTCCGGGAGCCCATATAGACAGGCTCCTTTGGGTCCTTTCAGTACACTATAGCATAAGAGGTCTCCATGCGAGTCCTATACATACATCTGAGGGCGTACCCTGATGTCTGAGGTATGTACCCAACTGCAGCTCCAATGGTCTCTTCTTACACTGGCGGATCCAGGGAGGGGGCATTTAGGGCCATGCCCCCTTCCCAGAGGCCTAAAGTGGCCCGTTTTCCCCCTCCCCCAAACGATAATGAAACATAGTTCAATCAGGGCGTGGCCCAGGAGCCGAGTTAGACAGGGCTGTTTTACCACCTCCCGGCCCGCAAAGGGACCCAAGCACTGGCTCGAAGCGGGTTAAAGAGACCCTCCCACCTTCAAAAAAGTTAATGAATTGGCATGAAAGTGATGTCGCTAGGTTCAGAAAGGGCGAAAACGAATAGCTACCAAATTTTTATCGAAAAATATTCACCGGTTTTCAAGAGATTAGACTTTTATTTTTGTTTACTTTTTGGGATATCCGCTGCTGTTCCTAGCGACTTTATTTGAAAGTGCGGCATTTGTTGCGCGCAAAGCAGCCTATACCACCGCATGCTACCAAACGTTTTAGTAAAATATTAAAAAATCATTAGATCTCCGCTGACGTCACACATTCAGAGGGGCATCCAAAAGCATTAGCCCCTCTGAATCAAAATGCTGCAATTTTGAAATTCAATATTTCCGATTTAAGGCAGTTCTCGATGTTGTGAGTGCGTGCCGAAACCGGTAATTGTGAGCCAGGGACCCCATTTTGGCTATCTCAGCTCAAATCTAATGTTAAGGTGGGAGGGTCCCTTTAACTGGTCGATAAAAACAATGGTAAGTGTTTACAAAGTAATATAAAGGCATGGGTCGGGTGGGCTACCATTTATATATTTTTCTTTTTAGTTAAAAAAAAATTCATAGTGTCAGGGCTGTGACGAAAAATAAGTGGCCTAAATCCGATGAGAAAACAGGATTTGGGGGTACCCTAGGTTTGGCTCCTGCATGAGTTGGCCCCCCCCCCCAAAACGCAAGCCTGGATCCGCCAGTGCTTCAGATATTCCACACGTAACGGCCGATGGGGTTGACACCAAGTGAGCGGGTCTACCAGGGGGTAAGGGTCCTCCTGCTCAAGAAACGGGCCCTAGCATTTCGTTTAGGCACCGGAGTGCAATTTTCGAAGTGTGGACTTGAGCCCATCCTACCTGTGCGCATGTCTGCAGCGTTTTGACCATTGTCTTGCCCCGAGTTGCCCCACATTTTTCGCTTAAACTTCTAGAGCACTCCCACGCAGCAGGTTTCAGCGGCAATGTTGGTGTTTCAATTTGAAGTCTTAAGAAGAAGGCCTCGCGGCACCATGAGCGTCTATCGCAAATCAAGCAATGACCTTCGGACTGTGGAGCTGGTGTTCTTACCTAGCCTTTGAGGGTGGCATATCTACCCAAACCGTTTGTTCTGGCCGTCGGCGCCTCCATGAAGGTGGATGTGTGCTTCACTGGTTGACCGGGCGTGGCCGGTGAGCGGTGCTCAGAATTGATTTGGGTTTTTTATCCTCGAAGCAAAGTAAATTCTTATCCCTTTTCTACCCTAAATATCACCTATTGATTCCTGGCCTTGTGGGGTATAATCCCCATGTCATTATCAATAATATAATTAGACATGTTGGACCGCACCCCGCATCTTGCGCGAGCTCGCAGATGGTCAGGGAAGGCATCTTGTTGACCAAATGGGTGATCTCTTTATAGTTTAAATGACTATAAATAATTCTTTTTCTCGGACTTTCAAGGATTCATTCGATTTGTAACGATCACTTTGGTAGTAAGTTGCATGTGCAGTAAAAAAAAATCGCCTTGCAAGGGATGCAGCGGAGGCATCAAAGCATGCACCTAACTGTTGTAGCACGGAAACTACGGGCATCGAATCCAAGTGCTTTTTGGCGATATTTGTTTTTCGCTCTGTGCAAGGCAATATTTTTAATATTATAAATTAAAATGCATATGAAAGAAAACTTGAAAATGTCCTCTGTCAAATGGGCATTAATACGTGCACGTGCGTTCAAGCAATTTTTTCCTGCAGAGCGATTCAAGAATCATGACATATTTTCGCGAACACCCTGTAGTTTTGCAAGTACCAAGCAAGTACCAAGTACTTTTGCAAATACCAAGCAAAGTAAGTACCAAGTACTTATGTACTTGGTACTTATGTACCAAGTACTTATGTACTTGGTACTTTTGCAAGCTAAGCAAGTTTTTTTCGCGAATATCGAAGCTTCTAGACGTCCGATCGTCACCGGAAAAACACCAATCGATCCCAAATTTTCTCCCGAATCTTTTTATGGCGAAAGCGACGCGGAGCGAGCGCAAGATATCTTGTCGAAATCTAGTTGAAGTAAAAAATATTTATATTAGACGTATATGAAGATAACTCGGGACTGATTGTTAACTTGCATGCTCACAGCGGGCTGTTATAGATTTATCTGTATACATGTCTTATCTGATCGATGAAATAATACAGGAATCCGTTGTCATTCGAGTGTGCTTCATAATAGCTCTTCCGACTTTGACGAATATCGACAGTGCCGTAACAAAATTGGTAGTTCGGGTACAGACTGCAATCAAACTGCAGCCAGTTCTTTTGCAACTTATTCCTTAATCAGATGAATACTTGTCATAGATTTATTGGGCGTGCGAACGTAGGGGCCAAAAACGCGTGTCTACGACCGACTTCCTTTTAAGAAAAAAAAAAAGAACCACTAAAGCAGGAATCGATCCATCGATCTTTCTTTTACCAGACCGAGACTGTAACCACTCGGCTACGACGACACATGGAATGATTATTAGCCATATACAATTGGAAAAAGTCTCAACTCAAATTTAGCGTCAATGCATGCATTGTCGCGTCGGATGGCTATGACGTCGCACTAGAGATGTCGCCAGTTGGTGGGCCGATTCGTGTTATACACTTGGCGAATACGCGGCCCGGCGCGGGTTAAGCCGATTAGAGGCTTGAAAACTGACTACACTTCTATAGATCGCTAACCATATGAGCCGCTTCATCTACATGAATGCCCCCGCGAGGACGTCAAGCTTCAACAGCCCTGCGATTACACTCCAAGAACGTAGCATTGGCTGAGACTCACTCGTGATTACATGGTATGTGACGGCGCGCTATGTCTCTGGATGACTATTTCGAGTCGGCAGCCAAGAGTTCACAGCGCCTCAGGCATGGATAATCCATATATTGGTTGGCGGAGGTGCCGGCTGGGGCGCACTGCGTCTCCCGGCCGGCAGCGGCTGCCCCTCCGTATTCGGAGGCGACAGTGCGTCTGCCAGCGTGTCGTCGACACTCAGCTCCGATAGCGACGGCAGGGTGTCGTCGATCTGCGGCTCCGGCTCCGACTCCGGCTCCGGCTCCGGCTCCGGCTCCGGCTCCGGCTCCGGCTCCGGCTCCGGCGGCGGCGGCAGGGTGTCGTCGATCCCCGGCTCCGGCGGCACCAGAGCGTCCGGCGGCGGCGGCAGCGTGGACATCCTCTGCTCTGGCGGCGGCGGTGGCAGCGGGCACATTCTCTGCTCTGGCGGCGGCTTCTCCGGAGGCCCGAAGGCTGGTAGAGCTGCGGCATGGGTAATCCGGTGCACGTGAACCGCCGGCACCTCCGGCACACGGACCGTTCCCGACGCCCCTGCACGCCGGCGCACCGGCTTGAAAGTGGTCACGCCGCGGGCCTCGCCGAGGAGGCCGGCCCCGGCGGGCGCCTCGCCCGGGAGACCGTGCTGCGGCCCGCCGGTTTGAGGGCGCCACTCGGCCAGCTCGAGACAGCCGGCAGCCGCGGCCGTCGAGGGCGGTTCGAAGGCGACCGAGCGTTGGTGGCGGCGGCCTAGCAGCAGTGCGGCCAGCACCAGAGTGCTGACGAGGAGCAACAGGCAGACGGCCGATAGCACGGCCGTCACCAGCACCGGAGACGGCGGCCACGGCGACCAGTCGGCGCCGCCTGCTCTGGCGGCAGCACGTCAAACACTCAGCCGCAGTGGGTGCAAAGTGAAAACAGCGGTCAGGTGGACGACAGAAACAAGTTAAGTCGGTCAAATAAGGCCAAAGCAGTTCGTAGTTCATATGTTACAGGCAATGTGTGGAATCAGGCATTCCTGACCCATCAGGCATTTTATAGAATGCCTAGGAAATACACGCATCTTGTCTCTAAGTGAGTGTACGAGTAACAGGTCCCGATTTTCCCGACTTTTGGGTCATTGACCTGACCTGAAAGGTCACCCGATGACTTAGAACCTTTAACTCGCGCCCGGCCGGGGGGTGTTTGAACAGCCCCCTGCGTTTTTTTTTTGAAGATATCTCAAAAAACGGCGGCGCGGAGCGCCGTCGTTTTTGGCACACTTGTTCGTGCATCTTTTCCGCACATTTTGTGAAAGTTTCAGACCCAGGTCGCCTTAGGTCAGGTCACCAGATCACGCCAAGTGACCTCACCTCAGAAAAAAATAAGAATGCTCGTCATAGCTACACCGACTGATCGATTGCCCTGAAACTTTCAGCGATTGATAAGAGCAACATTATCTATAAAATGTATATTTCGGAATTTTGATATCGGTGACCTAAGGTCAGGTCATTTTTACGGCCTCTCCATTATAAGGCAATGGGAGAAAATTGAAAAGCGTCTGTTTTGCACGAAAACTATGCTAGACAGTGGCGGCGTAGACACTCATCGAGAGGTAGGTAAAATTGACACACTGAACCGGAAAATGGAAACTGTGACCCCTCGTCATGTCCCCGAGGTCATCTCTTGTCAAAAACAGAATCTAATAGTTTTCGCTAATAACTTCTGATAGAGGCGTGCTAGAGCGTTAAAAACGCCTTAGATGTGTTCGGCTCGACGTTGCGGAGCGACTGATATGCAACATGACCTTTTCCGGTCAGGTCATGACCTTGACCTGAGGTCAAATTTTCAAGTTGACCTTTCAAGGTCAAATTATAGTTCATTCGACGCGTCTCGGCAAGAGGAACACGGTTCTGGCAATAGAAATGTAGTGGCTTTTTTAGTCAAAAGTTATTGTCGAAAAACACTTAACGTAAAAACAGCTATTTTGGAGTTTTTGCCCTCTGGAGGCTAAACCGTTGACCTGAGGTCATTTTTGATAATAACCTTATCAAAAGAAGAGCTCAAAAGCTATCGATTGATTTTCAATACGTTTTTGTAGATATCATAGTTCCTGAGATAATGGCATGTTTTCTGAAAAATATAATGACCATTGACAAATTTTGACCTTTGATGACCTCTGGTGACCCCAATATTGCTCTAAGATGAAAAATGGCTGCAATACTTTCAAACGTCCGCATCAAGAGCTATCGACTGCTTTTTACCGCGTCTTTCTAGTCCTCTTAGTTTTTGAGTTAGAGGTGGGTGGTAACATATGCACCATATCACTAGGGCGAAGTTGGCTGAGACCGCCACTGGGGCGTGGGTTAAAGGGACCCTCCCACCTTCAAAAAAGTTAATGAATTGGCATGAAAGTGATGTCCCTTGGTTCCGAAAGAGCGAAAACGAATATCTACCAAATTTCACCGAAAAATATTCACTGGTTTTCAAGATATTAGGCTTTTGCTTTTGTTTACTTTTTGGGATCTCCCCTGTTACTAGCGACTTTATTTGGAAGCAATAATTTGGCAGCCTTAAAGTGCGGCAGACGTTGCGCGCAAAGCAGCGTATACCACCACGTGTTAACGATGGTTTTAGTCTAAGATTTAAAAATCGTTAGATCTCCGCTGACGTCACAAATTCTAAGGGGGCATTCCAATGCATTAGCCCCTTAGAATCCGAAAACTGCAAGTTTGAAATTCCATATCTTCGAATTAAAGCATTTTTCGATGTTGTGAGTGCCCAAACCGGTATTTGCAGGCCATGGCCACCAATTTGGCTACCTCAACTCAAAACTAATGTTAAGGTGGGAGTGTCCCTTTAATCTAGCCATAAATTTGGCAGTTAGTGGCTTCCTAAGAGTAAGATGTTGCCGGCGTAGGCGGGGATAGACCGACGCGGCAAACGTTTCAGATACAATATTGTGTTTACACCTTAACCCTCGCCAGGCGAGAGCCTTTTTCATAACACGGACGGTGAGGGGGGGGCTTGGTACGACCCCTCGCGATTGGCTCCTATGGTACTTAGAAACGCCAAATTTACAGGGTAGGTGGGTCCATAGGAGATCTCGCCCCCGTGAAAATTGGTGACTCTAAGTCAATATTTAGGGGGGTTTGGGGGGTATAAGTGCAAAAATTCAAACGGCGTCTGATAGCCATGGAAAAACTGTTTAATGAAACCTTATTTCATTGACCTCAAACTCACCGATGACGTCACAGGTCAGGTCAAAGTAAAAATATTAGCATTTTGGCTTGTTCACATTTTGGGCTCTGGCCGCCGTGTTACAAGTCAGATCAGGCTCATTTTTGGTTTACACACTCGTGAACAGATGCTTTAGATACCCTGAGGGTACCAAACTTGTACTTTGATTTTCAGGTCGGGGCCGGTCAGGTCATAACAGGTCACGAATATATTATATCATGCGTCGGTCACTTGACACATGATTTATGGTCCATTTAGGCCAAAAATTTCGAATTTGATGTCGTCTGTATCATTCGAGGTCATTTTGAGTTGGATTAAGCTTAGGTCAGGTCACTTTCAGGTCTAAAAGTGTCAAATTTTGAAGTTAAGATTTTTCAAAAAAAAGGTCTTTAGGTATAGGATGCAGTTTGAGCTCAGGAACACGTTGGTGCTACTTATATTACTGTGCGATGTCAAATACGCACTAAACAATTGATTTGAAAAATATATACCTATGAATTTTTTGCAATAATGCGTATAATCTGGCCATTTTTGAAGATATCTAGTTAAAACTTGCTAGAGTAAGTCATTAGCATGTGTTCTATCACATATATTTCGTTTTTTTTCGAAAGGTCAATTTTTTCATAAAAATATAAGTTTTGAATTATATATTATATATATATATATATATATATATATATATATATATATATATATATATATATATATATATATATATATATATATATATATATATATATATATATATATATATATGTGTGTGTGTGAATGTAGGGAGCAGATTCTCTTTGATGCATTGTTCATTGAATAATACAGCGTATGAGTGATTGATGCATTTCTTTTCTAAGGATTCAATACGGTGCACTAGCTTCTTGTCTTCATTTGAAAAACAGCTTAATATGGTGCCTATATTTTGTAACGTTTCGCCAGTACCACTAGCATCTTCAGACATAAGCACCAAGTTATGTACAATAAAGTATGACCAAAACAATAGAAAATACACTCGCGTCGAGTCGTTCAGCACATATAACTGTGTCAGTTATTCCATACATCAAATTACATTCGAGTTTTACAATATAAGTAAAGCGCGACACGTGGATAAATCCATATACGCTTTCAATAGTGAGCCTAAGTCGGTTAGGCCGTGACAAGTGGTTCACCGTCAAACAGAGACAGTGTTCCGCGCATGTTCATTTGTCTGTTGATTACAGGATCTCTTGCACGGATATATACCGCCTCTAAGACACGAAGTTTGTTTGCGGTGTGACACGTGGTTATGATAGATGTGTGTGATACAAGGTCGGTCCGAGATAAGTCGATATCGTGGTACGTTCGCATGTGTTGTTTAGGGGCACCTGACTGCAAGTGCATGGTTAAACGTCGAGACAGGGATGTGGTAGTGAAGCCAATGTAGGTAGAGTTGGAGCGGCGCGCACAGTCACCGGCGGTACATTTGAACTCATACACTACGTTGGTGGCCTTGAGAGGGGATCTGTCCTTAGACGGGTTGTTTTGCGTGAACAAGTCAGTTTCTTGTCAAATGAAGACAAGAAGCTAGTGCGCCGTATTGAATCCTAAGAAAATAAATGCATGAATCACTCATACGCTGTATTATTCAATGAACAATATATATATATATATATATATATATATATATATATATATATATATATATATATATATATATATATATATATATATATATATATATATATATATATATATATATATATATATATATATATATATATATATATATATATATATATATATATATATATATATATATATACAGTGGCGTAGCCAGAAATCAGCGAAAAGGGGGCCATGGTGCTCGAGGGGGCGACTTTTTCCCTTGAGAGGGACGCCATTGTCAGCTGGTGACAAAAAGCTAGTGTCTGTCTAAAATGTAACGGTCTAAAATGGTAGTTTTGCATAAAATAGGCATTGATTCGATGCAGCTCGTCACGGGGAGTCTAATGGTGGTCTTTGTTTTGCGCTACGAGGTCTATAATTGCCAAAAATCGAGTTTGAAAAATGTTACGCCATCAATTTTGAGCAGTTTTTTCGCTATAACTTGGCCAAGAAAAGAGGTATCGATCTCAAATTTGGTATGTAGATAGAAGGCGGTAGGGACTATCACATATATTCCGTTTTTTATATTTAAAAATTTTGTTGGATTTTTCGGCTATTATATTAAAAAAAAAACTATTTTTGATTTTTAGGGGTCAAAATCCAAAAAAAATAAAAATCAAGGTAGGAGTTTTGTAGCCCTTTTAATTCTACATCTTTAATGTTTGAAACATTTTTCTGTATCTCTAAAGCTGTAGGCCTGACAGCTCTTCCCGCGAAACCTTTTTTGGGTCGAAAATGGCAAAAATGACGTCACTCTGACGTCATTAGCGGCCAACCTATCATAGCCTTTGGAGAAATTATTGGTCACAATGTGCAATAGCTATTCACGGGAGGGTACGTAAAGTTTGGTGACGATCGGCGCAGCGGTTCTGGAGATATATCTAAAAAACTAAAGGGGGGGCAAAAAATGCCCCCCCCCCACCGCCTGGAAGGTTAATGCCAAATTCTGATTCATTTGCCTTGTCTCGAAAAATAGAACACGATGCCAGTTAAACTAATCTCGTGCAGGT